CCCCGCCACCGCCCCGCGGTACTTGGACATAGTTGACTGATCTTGTAAAGTAACAGTTCAGATTGCTCGTGTAATTTGTCGAGTTTACCGCATTTATAAAACATAAATGTAAACTGATTCCTAGCGTGCATTTGTGATTGTGATTAGTGAAAGTGACGTGATTGTAGACGGAGGCGAGGCGCGTGGCCGGCGTTTGCGCCGGAACCGTTTACTTCAATTTTATAAATTCCAAATATATGAGTAGTGACTAGCAAGTCACAGAGTTTATTCTAATAAATAAATTTAATACATATCGCTTTGAAATCCGCTCCTCCGTTTTAACTGTAACCACTCTGTTAATATAATTGTTATTTTTTTGTTTCACAAGAGTCATCGGACGTCTACAATCTTTTCCTACTTTTTGTCTAAAATACATAATAAATGTGACGAATGTTTGTGTTGTGGTGCGCGTGCTCGTGCTCTCTTTGTCTCGAATACTTGCGCGTTTGTTGTAAATATGGCGTGTGTGGTGTGTGGTGCGGCGTGCGGCGTGCGGTATGCGGCGTGCGGTGTGCGGTGTGCGGTGCGGCGAGAGGCGCCGGCGGCCGCGCGCCCCGTTCTAGTGGCCGCGGCGGCCGTGTTGAGATTAGGAATACTTGTTAAATGTAAAAACTTACTTGACAGAAGTAATAAATATTATTATATTTGTAATGAAGAAGTTTATTTTATTTCGTTATTTATTTACCTAATTATAGACTCTGCTCCTGGAGCCGCAGGACGACACCTACCTTCTAAACTACTACTAGCTAGTACTTGTTGTACTGATGGTACTACTCGTTTCTAATTGTATAACAATAAAACTTTAGAAGGTAAGTATCGTCCTGCAGCTCTGGGAGCAGAGTTTTAGTTACGACCCACCTGCGGAGTACAGTTATAGTCAACCGTTAAATGACTAACTTAATACATATATATGTATATTACATTCCTTAAATAAAGGAAAAAAACCTAGAACAGCAGCAACCTGGAGCGGGTACTGGGCTCGTAAAAATTTTATTTTCATATATAAATGATTAAGATTCTGAAATTTTACAATGCCTTACGGCTGTCGAGATGGGACTTTATCCGGAAAATTCCCGAATGGGAAAATATTCGAGTTTCTTCATATTTAGCATTTAAAACATCTAGGTAATGTGCAGATACAAGTACATATCAAATAGTACGTACTATTACTACTAGTTACAGCTAATCTGATTTTGTTTATTTTCATAATTCAATAAATACGTTATTTGTACTCCATCCTATCTACTAAAATAAAATTAAATAAAATAAAAAGTATACTTTACTGCTATAAAAACATACCTGTATAGATTTTTTGGATATATTGTGATTTAGTAGTGAAAGATAATCATTAAAAAGTGTTTTTTTTAGTTCCCTCGCCAATTTCTAAAACGTAACGCTATTTATAACATGTTTTAGGTAACTCTGAAAACCAATGTTTTTTACATCGAAGCGACATCTGACATCAATGTGACGAATGACGTCACGTGTCTCAAGCCAACACCGGCCGCGTTTTAGTCGCACGAAAATGCTCGTGATTTTACTTTTTTTTTTGCTCCATGGTTGAACTTTATTTGTTGTTGTAATAAACTGCTCATTTTATTTTAGTTCCTGAATCAGGCTACACATTTTGTAGATTTTAAAAACACGCAACAGCTAGTGCCTTATACAGGTTTATTGATAATTAGACGTATTCCCATTAGGAGGTAATAGACCCCCACCAACGATTCCCGCCTTGTCATGGCGGTGAGGCTCTAGTAGCCCAGCCAAAGGCCAGGAGGGAACGGAGGGGTTTAGTTGGTATGCCCCATTATGGGAAGTCCCACATAACTCTCGTGCCTGCCCCGAGGCACAGAGTATACGTAAGGCATTCCCCTCTAGCAAAAAATAAAAGAGGTAATAGACGGGATCACTTGTGATAATTTTGACCCCTACATGGATTATACAAAAGTTAACCAATTTTGAGTAATCTTGATGTTTCGATTTTTGATAAAAATGTATTTTTGGTTTATTAGCCGTTTTCAAAACCAAAATTGAGCACAAATACCGTTTAATTCTTTTGAAATCAGGTGTTTATTTTAGTGTGTATGGAGTAAATTCCTAGTTATTATGCATTTTTGGAAAGCTTAAAAAACCGGCATGTTTTAAAAAAAATCTGTGTACCAAGTTCCATAAAGATTTTTCTTGTTTTTAAGGCATTTCAGTGGATGAGAATCTCGAAAAATATTGAAGTAAAATGATTCTTTAGATTGCATTTTTATATTTGGACAGATAATTGATGTTTTTATATTGTAAAATAATCAGAGTTTAATGGTTTTTATAAACTCGAAGAAAAAATTAAGTTATCATTGACAGTCTTTTTTAATAAATTTTTGAAGTTGCAATTTCCGTTTATTTTGAAAAATTGAATAATCAAGATTACTCGATTAACTTGTGTATCATGCATATAGGGGTAAAAATGATCACAAATGATCCCCTCTATTACCTCCTAACAGGAATACGTCCAATCACCAAACCCTGTATACCTATTTTTGCTTATTTTTCTACCTATACTATATAATATACTATACAGTACCTATTTTTCACTGCACTTGTACTACAAATAAAAAAAAATGTAATTTTTAAGATTTCGATAATTACGTTGAATAATGAAAATACCCGTCGATTGGGTTTTTTCCCGCATAAATACCCGTTTTTTTCCCACATTACAAATAAAAAATAAACTATTTGAAGCTATTTGGTTTAACTTAAAAGATAGACTAAAGAACGCGTGCATTAGAAAAATCACAAAAGTAGTAAACAATACGAATTTAGGGTGGACTGAAACTGTTCGTCGGCCTATGTCCTAAACTATATCCATACAAACTTTGCGGCAGTAGTGAGTCAGTGAATTTCAAATGTCATGGGGTCACCGTAGTCTTTTAGTTCACATTAAACAAAACTCGCGGCTTTATATGCAACAAAACGAGAATAACAAAATGTTTAATGCTCTAGAGTACAGCCAGCTATACTCTAGAGTACTATACAGTCGATTCCCAGGAAGGATACTGAGGTGTTTCTTTTTTATATCTCAGTACAGTATCTAGCGCAATCTGTACGAACAAAACCTAAAGTTAACGTAGCCTTTTTATGATGAATGTTTGAAATCGGCCCAGTAGTTTTTGAATTAATAGGCAATATGCATATGACGCCAAATTGTACCAAACTTTTTTATGTATACTTTATTACTATAAAAACAGTCCTGCAAAGATATTTTTAAATATAATGTGATTATATTCAATACATACAAAAATCCAAAAACACAAATATTTCCTTTATATAACATTAGTGTTCAAGGAGTTCTTACATATTTTTAGATGTCAAGCCATTAGAAAAGAAGAAGAATTTTGGAATAACAATGTTGGCTACGTAATTACACTGTGCTTGCTATATATGTTATGGATGTTAATTTACTTACATATTACGTAGCTGTTAATAACTTTGAATAAAATAAAAAGAAATAAGAGATATATTGATAAAAAGCACTTAAAATGTGAATAAGTAACCAAATGGCAAGATAAAAAAAACTGTCTTTAACAAAAGTGATAAGAAGCTAATAATTTTTACTCGGCTTCTCGCCTGTTACATTGAGATCACGCGTGACTCTTTGAATGAATATATTCGATTAACAATTGAGATGTGTAATGTTAGCACATTCGTTGAAGCATTTATTTCGATGGTTTCCTTTTATCTCCGCAAGAGCTCCAAAAATTGTGTTGTCTTAAGGGGGCCGTAACTTCCCCCTGGACCAAGTGTCTAATTTACCCTATATGTTTATGTTACAAGAGCTGTCGCTCGCAAACTTCGTTGTCACGGAATAAAAAAAAACGATAGTCTATGGTATAACATTCCCGCGTGCATCAGGTAGGCACCTTCTATCCAAAATCAATCTACCCAGAGATAGTGATCGGTCGCCGTTTTGACAGCGCAGAGTTAGTTTAGTTAACCCTCCAGTGAAAGTCCTATCAGGAGAGCCGTTTAGGAGATTACCCGGAACAACCGTGGCTTGTGGACAAGCGGACAGACAATTTTTAAAATGCGGATATATCAAGCAAATATATCATCTTCGCGAAATCTGAAGTTTTCTTTCGCTATTACAGACACTCAAATATTATCATATGCAGGGATTTAGTTTTGGCTCTTACGTGTTACAGTAAGGAGATAAAAATGAAACCAGTATGTAAAGATAGTTTTTATTTAACATTATCCCTCAGTCCGCGATATAAACAAAGCGACGGAGACACAACAACTACATTCGGAAGACAAATATACAATACGCCGCGCCGCGCCGCGCCCTTTGACGTCAGACGCGACGTCGCCGGCGTAAGTCCATGCATTATACATCTATATAAATAATTAAGTGTAAACTCCCAAGTTACATTTAGAGGAGGGGGGGG